TTTATTCGAATTATTGTAGTCTGTGTTGTCTATTTTGCTTTTATTATTTGTTTTTTTGTTATTATTTGTTGTTTTGTTTTCCGTTTTCTTAATTACTTAATATAATAAACATCATTAAATTATATCTCCACAATATATGATAAAAATACACAATATATGATAAAAATACACAATACATGATAAAAATACAGTATGGCAATAGACGTATTCCACAATGAAAAGAATTGTTGAACAAACTTCAAGAATAAAATCAGAATACTATGGATGAACAAAGATATCTTATGATATTGATGGCATTACTTTGAATTTAAATTGAACGAATGCTATTATTATTTTGAGAAGTAGAACTTACTGATAATGCCAAAATATCTAGGAAAAGTTACAGTTCAGATGTCCCACAGTGAAGAAAGATATCGCCCTTGGAGATGATAAAATTTTTTCCTACATCTTAACACGGTTTCAATAATCTACATCGGTCTTCGAGAGCTAAGGGATCAATTGAAACTGCATCTCCAGACAACGGACCAAACTACAGTCGAGGTATGGAGGGGAAAGGAAACCGGGGAAAGAGAGGCGGAAAAATATATCCGGCGTGGAAGAGGATAAATGATAAATGAACGGGGAAGACGTAGGAAAGATCAAAAAGCAACGACGGAATAGGCAATAACGCTTCCAACGAAAGCATCCTCGTTGGGAAATAGGCAAGGAGAGAAGAGAGAAGAGGGGTGGAGAAGGTTGGCTCGCTGGCACCGAGGGATGAAATGGGGAAAACATTCGAGCTGGCTCGGCTCTGGTAGGCCGAGGGTGGCTGATACACAAGGGGCCCATGGCCGGAGTGTGCCCTGGTAATTGCGAGCTCTATGTAGATCCACTTACGGTGATTAAAAACTGTCCTGCTGGGTATCATCTACGGAGAACGACGTCGGCTGTTGCAAACACCACCGGTGCACGACGGTATCCACCGTTTCGTCTGGAACTTCTTCGACGATCGTCTGCTGATGGTCCAGATTAAGCTGGGTAATTGGTGTTTAAAATGGCTCGAGCTTCAGGATACAGGAACTGGTGCCCGGATGACAGTTGAAAAAGTATTAAAACGATACTCTTGGAATTTGCATTCATGTGAATGCACGTAAGTTGGATACCTGATTTTCTTTTTTTT